TGAGGGAGCGCCGCGCTGTCGGAGGGTCGGCGCTGAGGGAGCGCCGCACTCCTGGTGACAGTTTCTTTCAGATCAGAAACACCAAGGTATTGATTGCCCCAGGGACAGATGTCTAAGAGCCTACGGCCCTGTCTGGAAGAAAAGGATAACTGTCACCCATTCCTCAAACCTGCTGATTACTTCAGGGCAGTTGGATACGATCTTGCTGTGAGTGAATGGTCACTGAGGCAGGGATTGTACAGTAAGTGTTCTGGCCTGATTGGTAATAGCGTACAGCACTGTAAGGTGTCAATGGCCTGCTGATTCTCTCACCAGTAGGTGTGATGCGGATTCAGAACTCCCCTGTAGTCCATGCTTCTTTTGGATTGTGGGGGGCGGGGGGGATTGAAATACTCGCTGTGTTCAGAGGTACTTCTTACCATGTTTGGAGACTGGTACGTGGGATTTTCATAGAGTGTTGGACCCCCAAAACTTCCCTGGAAAATCTTAATAAGGTTTAGAACAAAACGTGGTCCAATTTCAACCAGAGCTCCATCTTCTTCAATAATCTGCAAGTGAGACAAGGCAGTCAGTCATGGAAACCTGTGAAACTAACAGTCAGGAAGCTGCAGCTGAAATTCCTGCTGGGGCACAGGTTCCTCACCACCACGTAACCCCCACTGGGCTTTTACTTTGACCACGCTGGAATTCCCAAGGTTAGGTGATAAATGGAGGATCTCCATCTACAACTCAGGAGTGTGATGGAATACTCCTCACTTGCCTGGATGGGTGCAGCCCCAACAACACTCAAGAAGCTTGACACCATCCAGGACAAAGCAGCCGCTCGATTGGCACCACATCCACAAACGTCCACTCCCTCCACCACTGACGCTCAGTAGCAGCAGTGTGTACCATTTATATTCTTAGGACATTCCAGACCCTAACCACTCGAGTGAACCTGCCTCCCACCACACTCTCAGCCAGTACATTCCAGACCCTAACCACTCGAGTGAACCTGCCTCCTCCCACACTCTCAGATAGTACATTCCAGACCCTAACCACTCGAGTGAACCTACCTCCCCCCACACTCTCAGACAGTACATTCCAGACCCTAACCACTCGAGTCAACCTGCCTCCCCCCCCACACTCTCAGACAATATGTTCCATACGTGATCTGTGCACAGATACCTCCAGCTCCCTCTGCTCCTGCTTCGCCTTTAGAATTGTACCCCTTTATTTATATTGTCTTTCAATGTTCTTCCAACCTCACACTTCTCTGCATTGACCCTCATCTGCCACCCACCCACTTGTTAATGTCCTTTTAGAGTTTCACACTGTCCTCCTCACAGTTTACAATTCTTCAAAGTTTCGTGTCATCTGCAAACATGGAAATCGTCCCCTGCACAGCAAGATCCCGGTCATTAATGAAGATCAGGAAAAGCCAGGGTCCCAATACTGACCCCTGGGGAACTCCACTACAAACCCTCCTCCAGCCTGAACGATACCCATTGACCATTACACTCTGTTTCCTTTCACTCGGCCAATTTTGTATCCGCGTTGCTGCCGTCCCTTTTATTCCATAACCTGGAACGTTCCTCATGAGGCTGTTGTGTGGCACTGTATCAAACACCTTCAGGAAATCCATGTAAACTACATCAACAGTATTACCCTGATTGAGCCTTTCTGTTACCTCTTCAAAAAACTCCAGCAAGTTCATTAAACATGCTTTTCCCTCAAGAAACACTGCATTCGAGAAACACCTGGATGAATACATGAATAGGAAGTAACGACAGTTTTAGTATGGAAGGGCAGGATGTGTCAGCACAGGTTTGGGGGGCCGAAGGGGCCTGTTGCTGTGCTGTATTGTTCTTAAGAAATCCATCCTGGCTTTCTTTAGCCTGAATTTCTTCACGTGACTATTAATTCTATTCTGTACTATTGTTTCTAGAAGTTTCCTAACCAATGCTAAACTGACTGGGCTGCAGTTACTGAGAGAATAAGAAACACTGTCAGGGTGAGGTAAAGACGGGCTGGCTGGAGATTCATGTCGAGCAGAAATCTGACAGACTGAATGGTCTGGTTTTGATCTGTAAACACCACATGGTAACATTTGAAAGAAATTGAGCCTGTGTTTGGGGGTGAACATAGAACAGTACAGCACAGGAATAGGCCCTTCAGCCCAAGATGTTGTGCTGAACATGAAGCCAAATTAAACTAATCCCTTCTGCCTGCCCTTGGTCCATATCCCTCCATTCCTTGCTTATGCATGTGCTTATCTAAAAATCCCTTAAACACTCCTATTGTATCTGCCCCCATCACCACCCCTGGCAGTGCATTCCAGACTCTTACCACTCTCTGCATAAAAAATTTGCTCCTCACATCTCCTTTGGACTTTTCCCCTCTCACCTTTAATGCATACCCCTGAGTTTTAGACATTTCAACTCTGGGAAAAAGATTCTGACTATTAACCGTATCGATACATCTCATAACTTTACAGACTTCTGTCAAGTCTCTCCTCAACCCCTGCTGCTTCAGAGAAAACAACCTGAGATTTTCTATCCTCTCCTTATAGCTCAGACCCTCTAATCCAGGCAACATCCTGGTAAAACTCTTCTGCAGCCTCTCCAAAGCCTCCACATCCTTCCTGTAATGTGGTGACCAGAATTGAACACAATACTCTTAGTGTAGCCAAATCAAAGTCTTATAGACCTGCAACATGACTTCCTGACTCTTGTCCTCAGTTCCCTGACCAATAAAGACAAGCATTGCCATACCCTTCTTTACCACCATATCTACATCTGCAGCCACTTTCAGGGAGCTATGGACTTGAACCCCAAGATCCCTCTGTACATCAATGCTGTTCAGGGTCCTGCCATAAACTGTACACTTTTCCTTAACATTTGATCTCCCAAAGTGCAGCACCTCACACTTAGATGGATTAAACTCCATCTACCATTTCTCCGCACATAACTGCAACTGATCTGTATCCTGCTCTATCCTTTGACAACCTTCTACACTACCCACAACTCCACCGATCTTTGTATCGTCTGCAAACTTACTAACCCACCCATCTACATTTTCATCTGAATCATTTATATATATCACAGACAGCAGAGGTCCCAGTATGGATCTCTGTGGACACCCACCAGTCACGGACCTCCAGCCAGAAAAACATCCTTCCACCACTACCCTCTGTTGTCAATGGGCAGGCCAATTCTGAATCCGTATGGCCAAGTCACCGTGGATCGCATGCATCTTAATCTGCTGGATGAGCCTACCATGAGGGACCTTGTTGAAAGCCTTACTAAAATCCATGTAGACAACATCCACTGCTCTGCCTCCAGCGATCACCTTCGTCACCTCCTCCAAAAATTCAATCAAGTTACTAAGACATAACCTGTCCCTCACAGAGCCACACTGACTGTCCCTAATTAGGCCGGCTTTTCCAAATGTGCAAAAATCCTGTCCCTAAGAATTCTCTTCAATAGCTTTCCAACCACCAATGTGAGACTCACTGGTATGTAGTTCCTGGATTATCCCTATTTCCCTTCGTGAACAGAGAACATTAGCTACTTGCGAGTCCTCTGGGACCCCTCCAGTGTCTAGCGAGGATACAATGATCTTGGTCAAGGCCCAGCAATCTCCTCTCTTGCCTCTCTCAATAACCTGGAGTAGATCCCATCGGGCCCCAGGGACTTAACAACTTTAATGTTCTCCAAGAGATCCAACACCGTTTCTTTCCTGATCTCAAAATGCCCTAGCATATTAGCATGCTCCATGTTAATCTCACTATCCTCCATATCCTTCACCTGGGTGAATACTGATGCAAAGTACTCATTTCGGATCTCACCCACATCCTCTGCCTCCAAGCACAAATTTCCCCCTTTATCCTTGAGTGCTCCTACCTTCTCTGTAGTTATCCTGTTATCTTTAATGTATGTATCGAATGTCATGGGATTGTCTTTAACCCTACTTGCCAAGAATATTTCATTGCCCTTTCTTGCTCTCCTAATTCCTAACTTGAGTTCTTTCCTGCTTTCCTCAGTCCTCATGGGCCCTGTCCAATTTTAGCTTCCTAAATCTTACATATGTTTCTTTTTTCCCTAAATTCACAATCTCCCTCATTTTCCAAAGGTCCCTTTCCTTGCTATCCTTGACCTTCCTCTTTACTGGAACATGCTAGTCCTGAACTCTCCCCAGCAGGTCTTTAAATAGTTCCCACCTGTGAAATGCAGACTTGCCCGATAACAGTTGCTCCCAGTTAACACTCCCTAGCTCCTGCCTAATACTGACATAATTTGCCCTCCCCCCAATTTAGTACCTCGCGACAAGGTCCTGACTTATTCTTATTCATGGGTATCTTAAAATTTAAGGAGTTGTGATCACTATTTCCAAAATGCTCTGCGACTGAAAGGTCAGTGACCCGGTCAGACTCATTAGCCAATACAATGTTCAGTGTGGCCCCTCCTCTAGTTGGACTATCCACATACTGTTTCAAGAAACCCTGTTGGATGCATTTAACAAATTCTGCCCTGTCTAACCCCTTTTTGCTGTAAGGTAGACCCAGTCAATATTGGGGAAGGTAAAGTCACCCACTATGACAATCCTGTTGTTATTACATCTTTCCATAATCTGCCTACATATTTGTTCCTCAATGTCTCAGTGGCTGTTGGGGGTGGCCTATAGTATAATCCTGTCCCAATGATTGCACCAATCTTATTTTTGAGCTCTACCCATATTGCCTCAGTGGATGAGCCCTCCGGTATGTTCTCTCTGAGTGTAGCTGTGACATTCTCCCTGATTAGTCATGCAACTCCTCCACTTCTTTTACCTCCTTCTATATCTCATCTAAAACAATGAAACCCTGGAATGTTCAGCAGCCAATCCTGTCCCCATCTCAACGAAGTCTGTGTAATAGCCACAACAAAGTTTCACCTACAGCTCATCTGCCTTACCTATAACATTCCTTGCGTTGAAATAAACACACTTCAGCCCATTAGTACCATCATGTTCATTTACCTGTTTCTGACTGTCCTTTCTGATTTACTGGTCCTAACGTGCTTCTGCCCCTCAATCCCTCCACTTGCTGACCTGCTGCTCTGGTTCCTAGCCCCCTGCCACTCTAGTTTAAACCCTCCCAAGTAGCACTAGCGAACTTCCCTGTGAGGACATTGGTTCCCCTCCAGTTTAGGTGCGACCTGTCCTTCTTGTACAGTGCACAGTGAAACTGTGGTGAAGTGAAGCCTCTGGCCCAGAGACCAGAACTTCAACACACAGCTTTCAACTGACCTGATAATTCCTGAACCAGACCCTGTTGTCAGTGATGGTGAACGTGAAGATATGATCGACAAACGGCTGACTCTTTGGGTGATACCGAGGAGTTGAAAAGACCTACAAGGCAATGGGTTATACAGATTGTCAGGTACTTGCCGTGAAGTAGGCTCTCCATATGTATCATGCTATTTGCCAAGATTCTCTCAACGCCAACTCACAACACACCACCCCCGTACCCACTGACGCTCTCAGTAGTACTACCGAACGTCCAAAGATGTGCAGGTTAGGTGGATTGGACATGACAAATGTGGGATTACAGGGATTGGGCAGAGGGGACCTGGATCTGGGTTGGTTCCTCTTCAGAGGGTCAGTGTGGACTTGAGGGGCAAAATGGCCTCTTCTTGCACAATAGGGATTCTATGATCTACAAGATGTGCTGCAGAGATTCACCGAAGATCCTTAGACAGCATCTTCTAAATCCATAACCACTTCAATCTAGAAAGACATGGGCAGCAGATACATGGAAACATCACCCCTTGCAACTTCCCCTCCAAACCACTCACCGTCCCAAAATCCTAGAATTCCCTCCCCAAGGGCATTGTTGGTCAACCCACAGCATGTGGACTGTAGTGGTTCAAGAAGGCAGCTCACCCCCACCTTCTCAAGGGCAACCAGGGACGGGCAATAATGCTGTGTACTGGTGTTAGATCGAAGTGCACCTGTAAAATATTGAGGCTAGTTCTCAGATGGGTTTGTGGGCCTGGCTGAGGGTAAGAGACGTTGTTGGAGAGGATAGGTTTCAGTGCTTGTGGTCCGAGACACAGCAAACACAAACTCACCTGGATGAAGAGTTCCTTCAAGAGTCTATAATGAGGTTCTTTATCAAATGTCTATTCAGGAGAAAGATAGAAAACAACCATTAGACTGGCAGCTTGCAGCAAAACCATGACAAAGTTTGTGACAGGAAATGAAGGGGAAGCAATTTCCTTACCGGATCAAAGGACAGTAACGGCCTTGAACCTTTCAGACAGTTCCCGGTCAATTTCAGCTCATCCAGGGTGTGAACTGTGAGAGTGTGAGGGGGCATTGAGGGAGGGAGGGAGGGGGCATTGAGGGAGGGAGGGGGGGGGCAGCGGGGGGGGGAGGGGGGGGGGGGAGAGGGTGACAGTGGGGTGAAGGAGGTAAAGAGTGGGGAGAGGGGGAGAGAGAGAGAAGGGGTTATGTGTAAAGGAGTCACAATATCTCTGTTCAGGGTCCATCATTGTAACAAGTTATTAAAATGTTTGCAAGCAGTGGGTTACTTCTCCCTCAGTAACTCAGCTCATGGTGATCACCCAAACTGGACCACTGGATCCCAGCAGTGAGGGATCCCATTCCCTGTGCCAGTAATCCCAAAGGGTATGCACCACACAGGGTGACTGGCACTGTTTATACCCGTGATGGTAGGATGTTACAGTAACAGGAAGAGGCCCTTTGGTCCCACTGTTCTGACCCAATGAGGTGGAATCTGCCGCTTTCCCCACGAGCCTGTCGATTTCCACAATACTCCAGGAAGATCCTTCCCAAATCTGCTTCCAGCTCCATGTCAGGCACCCTATTTCAGTTCGCAATAACTCTCTAGCTGATTCTCAATCTCCCCCAACCCCTACATAATTTTACAATTTATTCCGCAATCAGCTCTCTTGTCCTCGGTCAGGGATCTCACTCACGCTGAAAGCATAGTTGATGAACTCCCCTCCGACAGTAACACGGAAACCGCTGTTTGTACACACAATCAAACGTCATCACCAACAACATCTCAGCTGCCCGTCACACACCGTCCCTCAGGTTGGAAAGCTGCTGTCTCCTCTAGCCTGAGAGAAGTGTGTCTAGGCTGTCAGCTCGAGGCTATCTGACACACAGTCAGTGTTTGGGCCAGTCTGAGATGTACTCACTAACTCCACAACATTCGGGCTGTAGCTGGAGAATCTATCAGCATAGTGAAACATGAAACCAGTAACCAGCTGCCTGCCCTCAATGAGAACAGGACACTTACTGTTTTGTACTAAAAACTTGGCCGATGGCCCATGAGGAACATTTGAGATCCTGAAACATAGAACAAACAATTTACATCATTTAGAAGCTGCTGGATCGATAGGTTGCAAATTGCCCAAACCGAGCAAAAAGAATGTACCTAAAGCCACGTCCCCCTCCCTCACCGTTCTGCCCAAAATCCTGTATCCCTCCCTCCTGCTATCCACCTCTGCCCATCCTGTCCCTTCCTCCTCTACCTGATCTGACCCTCTCTCCAGACATGGCCCTCTCCCCTCCTCCCTCTGCCTCTCTCTCCCACAGACCCTGACTCTTGTTGGTTTGAGAAGGTAAATAATTTGATTTGATTTATTATTGTCACATGTACCTAGGTACAGTGAAAGGTTTTGTTTTGTGTGCAGTACAGGCAGATCATACCATACAAAGTGCATTAGGGTAATAGAACAGGGCAAGGAATACAATGTTACGGCTGCAGAGATGGTGCAGACATCATGAGGCATTGGAGTCAATGGTCTAGTGGTATTATTACTAGATTATTAACCAGCGATGCCACCTCCAGGTAACAGTCTGGGGTCATGGGTTCAAATCATTTGGAATTAAGAGTCTAATGACGATCATGTAACTGCTGTCCATTGTTATAAAACCCATCTGGTTCACTAATGTCCTTTAGGGAAGGAAACTGCCATCCTTACCTGGTCTGGACTACACGTGACTCCAGACCCACAGCAATGTGGTTGACTCTGAATTGTCCTCTGGGCAATTAGGGATGGGCAATAAATACTGCCTGGCCCGTGACACTTACATCATCTGACAGAATTCAAAAAGCAAGCATATCATTTGTTTCCAGTTGGAAGGACAGCCAAATCACTCTGAAAGCAAATGTTTCCTGGTTCCTCACTATTAATAAAATACTGTTTTCCTGTTGCTACTTTCCCAGAGTATACTGCACTTTGTTTTAGCCAATCACTTTCTATCAAAATCCCTTTGCAGCCTATGTGTCCCGTTCACAATTCACCCAGCAGTCCTCGTGCTGCTATTACCTGATTGCCAGTGTCACATACTCACCACATGTACAGGTCCTGCTTCTTCTTCGCTTCAAAGTACAAGCATTTATTACAATTCTTCATTTCACAGATCTGTGGAAAGAGAATCACCATCAGCAGACTCTCCAATTGAAGGGATGAATAGGTTACTACTCACTAACTAGCTACCAATTTTTAAACTGGGCCACACCTGCTCAGAGCCAGGAGCATTGACATAATGGACAGAGTCACTACGTGCTGGACAATCTGTTCCCTCACCAACACAGAACCACCCTGCATCATCCCCCTCCCCTCACCTCCCCCAGGCAGAGGCTGGACACTACATTGAGAGGGGGTCTCCTGAGCATACTAGAGGGAGTAGGGACATGCCTGTATACATGGGAGTGATAGCTTAATGGTATTATCACTAGATGATTTATCCAAAAACCCAGCAAATATATTCTGGTGACCCTGGTTTGAATCCCACCACGGCAGATGGTGGAATTTAAATTCAATAGAAATGTAGAATTAAGAGTCTAACAATGACTGTGTAACTGTTGTCCATTGTTATAAAAACCACCTGGTTCACTAATGTCCTTTAGGGAAGGAAAATGTCATCCATACCTGGTCTGGCCTACATGTGACTCCAGACCGATAGGGCAATTAGGGATGAGTAATAAATACTGGCCTGGCCAATGATACTTCACCTGGTGAATGCTTTTTGAAAAAGGTCTGGTGCTGATGAATCACTGGTGAGCAGATGGTGTAATAATTTCTCTGAACCGGATGATAATGTCTCAAACTGACCAATATCTCAGGGCTCCTTGCACAGTGTGTGATTCATAGCCCCAGCTCACACTGCACTACATCCTGGCAATGGAGTTCCCAGCTGATAGGCATCACACTTTCTGAATCAACTCTCACAAATTCTGCCTACTCGCAAACCCAAATGTATGAAAAGTGAATCAATACTTAAACTCCTTGTCATCTCACAGATTGATGTTGTGTGTGCTCCAGGATCTAGTTCTCACTTAGCCCAGCCCCAGCACTCAGCTCACCTCATTAACCACAAACAGCTTGTCCTTTCGATCCATTTTGGTGTCTGCAATGAGAAAAATAACCTTCATTACTTTTACAAAGGGCTCAGAAATCCAAGGATGCTCACCCTCCAAGTCCACCCCCTCCCCAATGAGGGTCACTCTCTGGGATGCTCCAGGAATCTCCTCTCACCCTTTCCCCATGCAGGACTCCCACAGGTCACATCAGATGATTATTTAGATAGAAATGGTTTGTAGAAGTATGGGGAAAAGGCAGGAGATTGCCAGTCAGTAATGATGCAGACATGGTAGGTAAAATGGCCTCCTTCTGTTAAAGCAATTCCAAAATTCTGAGGAACAAGAGTAAGCTAATCAGCCCATTGAGTCAGCTCTGCGATTCAACAACATCATTGCTGTTCTAAAAGACCATAAGAAATAGGAACAGGAGTAGGCTGTTCAGCCCCCCTCTAGCCTGCTCCCCCATTCAATAGGATCATGGCTGATCCAACATTCCTCACATCCACTTTCCTGCCCTTTCCCCATAACCCTTGATTCCCTGACTGATCAAGAATCTATCCCAGCCTTAAATATACACAAGGGCTCTGCCCCCACAGCTCTCTGTGACAAGGAGTTCCAAAGACTCTCGATCCTCTGAGAGGAGGCATTCCACCTCATCTCAGTCTTCAATTGGTGCCCCTTTATTCTGACGCTATGCCCTCCGGCCCTAGACTCTCCCATGAGGGGAAACATACTCTCCGCATTTACCCTGTCAAGCTCCTGAAGAGCCCTATATGTCTCATTGAGATCATTCCTCATTCTCTAAACTGATAATCTTCAACTCCACTTTCCTACCTTTTCCCCATAACCCTTCATTGCCTTTCTGATTAAACCCTGTCTGTCTCAGCCTTGGATATATTTATAAAAACTGGCTGAGCCAGCAATGCTCACATTCCCCCCTCAAAACCAGAGCTAAACCTGAACATTATATCACAAAACAACTCCACATCATTTATGTTTCAATTTAAAACAGATGTCTCCAGAAATCCTTGTGACATTCGATTGAGAATCCTCTCAAAGTTTCAAACTGAAAGGCATGGCTCTGTCACCGACCGGGTTTTGAGTGAGGCATCAGTGTGCGTAGATCCTGCATCAGGTGCCGGGCTCGGTAACTAATCCCTCGTGAGGAGAAGATCAAAACCCGCTCCTTGTTCTTCCATTGTCCCTGGGGGTGAGGACACAGAGGGAAGGAAACATTCATTAGCTGCTTCAAACCAAACTCTACCAAACACCGAAACATAGCAACATCACAAAGAGGAGAAGGGGGAGGCCATGAGAAAGAGCTCGGGCAGGCTAGGCCAGAGTGTAGCAGCACAAGAGGCAATTTCATTGAAACTGAAGATTCCCATAAGTGGAGAGGAAGCTTTGTCTTGCAGCAAAATCTAGAACAGGGGATCACAGATTAAAAATCAGGAGTCACCAATTTAAAACTGCTGAGCCAAATTTCTTTCTCAGACAGGGTCATGATTTTACAGAACTGTCTTCCTGAAAAGGAGGCTGAAGCAGCGTCAGGGGATATTTTCAAGGCCTGAGTGGATTGATTCTTGTTAAGTAGCAGGGTGAAAGGTAATGGGAGGGAGGTGGGGAATGTAGATTTGAGGCCATAGACAGATCAACCATGAGCTCAATAAATAGCGTGGCAGACTTATAGGCCAAAAACATGGAGCAAGAGGAGGCCATTCAGCCCCTCAAGCCTGCTCCGCAACACACAAACATCACAGCTGTTGTGATTGTGGCCTTAACTCCACTTTCCTGCCTGTCACTCAAAACCATTTAAAGCCTCACTGACCACAGGCCTGTCCAACTCAACCTCAGATTGGGGGAAAAAGGGTCAGTGCTGAGGGAGCGCCGCACTGACGGAGGGTCAGCGCTGAGGGAGCGTTGAACTGTCGGAGGGTCAGCGCTGAGGGAACGCCGTACTGTCGGAGGGTCAGCGCTGAGGGAGCGCGGCACTGTCGGAGGGTCAG